TCACGACCTGAGCTGAAACCAAAAACAGGACGCTTAACAGACTGCCACCCAGGCACCCCTCCTGCCTGCCTCCCTCTTATAAGGACTTTTGATTACATTGGGTCCACCTGTCCAACCCAGGATAATCTCCTCAACTCAAAAGCCTGAGTTTAATCACACCTGTAAATTCCCGTTTGTCATATAAGGTAACAAATCCACAGTTTCCAGGGATCAGGATATGGACATTTTGGGAGAGGAGGGCATTATTCTTTCTGCCACACTGACTTTGCTGTTTGGCTGAGAATCCTGTGGGTAGGCTGTATTTCCTGGATTTTATCTGTCCTCTGGCAAATTCCACGGGATTAGTCCCAATAAGATTGAACATGGTAGGGCAGAATTCTTTATAGGAAGCTTCACTGTGAACTCTTTCAAAGCCTACACAGTACAGCTATAGATTATCAGTGCACTATTGTCTGTTAAAAATATCAAAGGGGGCTGTGCAGAGCCGAGGTACATACAAGTTACTTGAAAGGATCAAGACTTCCCAAATGCAGCTCAATTATGGGAGAAGTTGGCAAGTGTGAGAGTCAGCATTAACCCTTGTAAATGTCAAGGATCTGCTACAGTTTCAGTTAAGTTTCTACCCAGCTTTGACTCCCATATTCAATGTCCTCCATCTGCAAATTGTGCTGACATCAGCACTGAAAAGTTGATCCATTATAGCAGAAGTGAAGACAAGTTTGGCTGAAACCTTCATCCGGTTTTCATTTTGATCTGTATTGATTGCTATAATTTTCTTTTTTGTGGCTTTGCCAGGATGTGCTTTATCACAATGAGAACGGGCTCTTTTAGTAGCTTCAGCCAGCTCACTCTCAGAGGGTCTGACCTCTGAGAGCAGGCAATCATTGATCATTCGTGGCAACTCTCCCCCCAGGTTCAGGAAGTCTGAATGGTTAGAGATTTTTTCTTTTTTTTTTTTTTACACCTTTAAGCAAGATTCTTAAAGACCAGGTCTCTGGCTTTTTCAAGGGGCAATAAGTCTGTCTGGGCATACTTTTCCAGGAAACCAGGGAAATTTATGATTTGAAAAAGGACAAGTGCCAGCACTTTCCTCTGGCATTTTATTTGTCAGAAGTGCTTCCAATTAGGGCGGGTTTGTTCTTTCTGAGACAGGATTTCTAGGCTCCTAGGATGGGTGTCTGAAATGCCAGCTCTGTGGTCCATGGTGATTCTGTGATGGGCAGCTGTATTTATTGTCCTGTGATATTTTGCAGAAAGTTGCTTTCCCTCTTCTTTGCCTCCTTAGGCATCATCTCTGCTTCTCCTAATGGCTTAACAAGCATCTGCTTTCCAAACATTTCATTCCGGTGCATTTGATCTAGCTTCAGAAGGGCACAGTCACAGGCCACCTGAATGTCACAGGCCATGCCAACAAAGGGCGGCAGAACCTGAAGCAGCGATTCACAGACAATGTCCTATCACACGGGGCTTTTGTAAGACACTCCAGCCATTGCCCTTAACCCTGAGCTACTTGTCTGTATTTTACAAGCCTCAGAAGCTAACAATAGCTCCTTTTGTCCTCAGGGTCAGGTGGAATACCATTTATGGTCTCTGTACTGCAACGTATGATTTGAAGGGGATGTTTTTAAAATGTCTATAGAACCTACCTTGGTGTCAAAAAATTCTTTAAGTGAGGTCATATTTTTGAAATTTTAACAGATACATTTTTCATTCCTATAACCCTCCCTAGTGGGTTCTATTTATCTTATGAATCTGCTCCCAGTAGTGTTCCTTGCTTCAGGGGAGCTGATCGCATTTATGAATGAATTTATAAGCTGACACAATAGCCTAAAAGTAAAGGGCTTTTGATTTGCCAGAGCTGTGTGCTTGAGACACTTGTTATTGTTGTTGCTTTGTTTGGAATTCCAAAAAGGCTTGGATGGGAAGACTGAGAGCCACCCTTGGGGGGGGGGGGGGATGTGGCTGAGGATGCCACCCAAGGAGGCTGAAGGAGTGAAGAGGCACTCCCATGCTCCCTGCCTCACGCTGGCTGACAAACCCAGGGTCAGGGCAACAGAAATCTCCAGAATGATTTCCGGAAATCCATTTGAAGTGTGTCCTATCCCTCTCAGGGTGTAGCTCAGGAGCTGCAAGCCTTTTAGAGAAGCTTCACACCCAGCATGGTATCAGATGAGGGTACCTGCATTAGCAACGGCAGAAGATCAAATTGGTGGAGACCAAGGGTCTCCTCACAAGACTCATACGTTCTGGTGTGGTGTGGGGTAAGCAGTTGTAAATTCCCACATCCCTAAGGGATGACAGGCATTAGAATGCCGACAGGACCAAGAGGCTAGGAGGGCCTGAAATTAGGACAAAGAGATTGATTATGATGTCTGTGGTCCTTGTCAGGATGCCATAGATCAGCTAAGGAAACCTAAGCATGCCTCTTCTTTGTTGTTTGTTTTTTAAAGTTTATTTATTATTTTGAGAGAGACACAGACAGCGCGAGTAGGGGAGGGGCAGAGAGAGAGGAAGAGAGAGAATTCCAAGCATGCTGCACACTGTCAGCACAGAGCCCAACGTGGGGCTCCAACTCAGAACCATGAGATTGTGACTTGAGCTGAAACTAAGAGTTGGATGCTTAACCAACTGAGCAACCCAAGTGCCCCGGCCTCTTCATTGTGGTGTAAATATGACACCCATCAGGCAAGCCCAAGGATAAAGAAAGAGGAAAATGAAGGTATTAAAAAGTCCTTACTTTTTTCCTCAGGATTCTATCTGGGTCCATCTGATCTCAGTCTGTCTATGGACAAATTAGGGTCTTTGATCACTAGTAATTTGGGACATGGAGGTCAAATTCTGGGACCTGGTCCCTACTATGGAATCATTACAGTATTCTACCCTTTCACTCAACCATGAACGTAGAAAAACAGTGACATAACCAGGAAATGTGCATGAGGAGAACCACCAAAGCCATAGATAATTGGCATGCTGGAAAAACAGGACTCATACCAGGATACCATTAGGCCTTCCAAACAAAGAACTGGGAAAATACATAACCGGACTCCGTGGTATGAAGGAGGATGCTATTGCTTTTCACACAGGTGCCCTTCATTAGGAAACCTAGCCCCAGATAGTAGGTTGGGAACGGGGTGAGTAGGGGCTGGTGGGTGAGGCAAAGACTACATTCCTTTTAGCCACAAAGATCCTGTGACCTTTAGAGGTGGGGCTTCTAAATTGAAGGCCAACTGTTCTATATTCAATTATAAATGTGTAATTTACAGTTTAATATGGCACCTAGCTGACAGCCTCTGGTGGAGCATCTCTCAATTGTCTACTAAAGTATACATGGGGCTTGTGAAAAAAGATGGAAACTCATAATGTCAGCCCAAAGGGAGAATCAGCAAGGGATTTCCATTGTCAATAAGTGACATGGAGCGAGTTTACTCTCTGTCTGTCTGTCTCTGTCTCTGTCTCTCTCTCTCTCACACACACACACACACACACACAATTTTACTTCATGAAAAACTCAAGCTTCTCCTTAGAAAACAGAGATCAGGGGAGAAAACCTAGGGTGAGAATTCCTTTCTGTCCTACCATCTGGCCGCTGACTCAGATTCAGGCTTTAGATTGCTCAGAAATAGGGCTGCAGTCACTCCACTGGATGAGGTCTGCTCTTTGAATTTGTCTGAAACTCTCTCGTCTCCTTCTTCACTCTCCTGAATGTATTCAGGAACATAGTCATGGACAGCAACTCGGTGGGAAGAGGCAGGAGCACGGGCAGTGGTGTCTTCTAGGAGGGACACACCCAGACGGGCTCTAGAGAGCAGGGCCTGCTGGGTCCT